GAGTCCAAGAAGTAATCGAAAGCTCTCAAAAGTCGGCGTATATCAAACGTATTTGTTCGGTGGCGTTTTGGATAAAACTCAATATTCAAATCAAGAATTCCAACAAACCAAAATTAACAGACAAAATAAACTTGAGGTTAATCATATTATTCAAAGACCACAAATTGTAGCCGTGATGACTTAAGAAATTCTCCGAGGACGTCGATTATGTAAATGGATGTCTAAAGATTTGTATGTGCAAGAACTGACTGCTTCTACATATGAATTTTCCCATAACTTTGAAAAACTTTAGAAAAATGCTCTTCAAAAACGAAAGCTTAACAAACATGCACACCCAAAAGCACTCCTCTGACTGATTAGTATGATACAGCGTTAGTCATGTCACATGTCTTTGTATGGAAACCTTCTGTTATGCACCGATTAAGTAAAATATAAATATTATCTATCTATCAAACGTTTATTTTGATTGTACCATATCAGAATTAACAGTCACGTTTAAAGGCATCATTTCGCAAGTTCTATGGTCGATACTACGAAAGTCCATTTAAGACCTATCAAAAAATATTTTTGAATTCCTTGTAACAAATTTTTAGAATTTGTTTAAACGAATTTAATTCGTTCTAACAATTTCTTTGAATTAGTTATAACGAATTTAATCTGTTATAACAAACTTATTGAATTCGTGATAACGAATTCAAAAATTTGTTATTACGAATTAAATTCGTTTAAACAAATTCTAAAATTTGTTATAACGAATTATATGCGTTTTATCAAATTCAACAATCGGGGCCTATAGAAAAATATATATGAATTCGATATAACGATTTGTCGAATTCATTTTAACGAATTTAATTTGTTTTAACAAATTCAAGAATTCGTTTTAACGAATTTAATTCGTTCTAACAAGTTTTAGAATTCGTTATATTAAATTTAATTCGTTATAACAAATTTTTGATTCGTTATAACGAATTCAACAAATTTGTTTTAACTGATTTAATTCGTTATAACAAATTCAAAGAAATTGTAATAACGAATTAAATTCGTTATAATGAATTCGACAATTCGTTATATCGAATTCAAAAATATTTTTGATAGGTCCTAACTGGGCTTCCGTACGATACAATGGCCTTGTCAGCAAACACAATCTATCATTTACTCGAATGCTGACTGATGTTATTTAGGTCATTATTTAAACACTGAATTGTCTACAGATTTTTCCGTTTGCCCGATTATGACAAGGAGCATGCACACGGTGGGTTTCACCGATCGACAAGGGATGCTCACTCCTCCATGGCACCTGATCCTGATATTTTTTAGAGGTCCATGCTGGCTCTATTCCCGATTTGTATTGTTTCAAAGGACTTTTGAGCTTGATTACTGTTCGTTATCTCCATATTCACCTGCCTTAATTATAGTATGCTTTCTTCTTGGAACGATAAGCATGTGGTAAAAATAACACGTATATTCAACTCTTTCTAAAACAAAGGATGCAACAGATTTAATAGAGTTCTACATTCAAAAAGGCAGTTAATGAATAGAAAATCTCAGTCATTGGGTCTGTATTTAAATCAAATTTAAATGCAACAAAATACACATAAAAAAAACAACCTAATTATATTAGTCTCAAACGGTATTAACAGCAACACAGTTTGGAAACAGCAAATCAACTCAAAATTTGCTCATTTTTGTTGATTTACGATTGTTCAAGTGTTACGACGTAAAGTACGACTTTTATGACTTGTTATAAATTACAGTGTAAATTAACTTTTCGGACTTTGTATAAATTGTTATAAAAACTTTTCGTATATTTTGGCAAATGTGATAAATTTTATAAATTCTATACTGTTCAATCCTACCCGAGGCACAGTCATTGATGGACACTTAAGGTTCATCGATACTCTGATAAGAGAGATAACTCTTAATGACATAAATGTCTATTATTTTTTTTTATAAATATGTCAAGTTGAAGTGTCTTTTTTGTCCAATTTTGCACCGCAAGCTATGCTATAACTGTTTGGATTTAACTTAAAAAATACATTTCTTTTGGAAAATCATAAGAGTTAAAGAAACATTTTATATGAGTGAGCAGAGGGTTTATGAACCTTAATCCCTTAATTGACTTTTGTTTATATTAATCGACACTTAATCTTTCATCTACTTTAATTCTTTTATATACATGCCGGTAAAATGTCACCAGTCGCTCAATATCTGTTTAATAATTGATTTTCTTATATATTTCTGTTAATCCTTTTATTTTGATCTTTGTTCATTATCTATGTTTTGTTGTTAAAAAATCATAGTCAGTTGGAATCAGACTTTCGGTGCTGATATATATTCCAAATTCATGTAAAAGTATATTACAGGCTAAGTCTATATAAATTAAAGTACAAAAACTATAACGCGTGTTGACTTGTTTGAGGTTTTATGAACCTGCTGGTTCAACAATAAGAGGAGACTCACGGTTGGTCCAGAATTAGTGGTAGACGGAAAATTACACCCCGTAGTATTAGCAGAATCGTCGAAGATGTTTATGTATTACCTTTTCACGTGAGCAAACTACATGTTTTTGATCACCGTCATAAAACCAAAAATCTAGACCATTTCTCCTTACATTAAAATTTTCTACTTTATCATTGATTTAATTTAAAAAAATGAAATATTTACGTTATTTTTATTCAGTTATTAGACATGGAAGTCTGCAAGCCCTGCATAGTAATACATACTATGCCACATGTGCACAGCAAGAAGGCACGTGATGAGCAAATGACATTATGGAGATATAAAGCTATTTTCTTATTTGTAGTATTATCAGACAAAGACATTTGAAAATGCAAATATCACAAAATAACATTTATTTTTATAGAACAAACACCTTTACTAAACAATGTGTAAGTTCAACACTTGATAAAGATACTAGTACTCAAAATATATAAAATATTCCCAAGATACATTTTTTGTCATTTAGTCCTTAGTAATATTTAAAACAACACCGTGAGCAATACCCCATCCCAGAAAAATCACATTTTGATAACGGTGGTCGTCATCAAAGAAACTGGTGCTTTGAATTAATACTTTACCAAAATATTTGGCTGGCAACACTTGCAAATTACAAAATTAAACAAAGTCTATGATGGAATGCTATCTAATGTTTTACAAAGTCGTAGGGTGCTTTAGGGCTGAAATAGCCAAACACCTATAGTATATACGGTGGTTAATTAAACCCTGTAAGCCTCTGGCATAAAAATGCTAAAACGAATGAATATAACAATTTAATTAGGATTGCCTTACAGTTTATCTCATGTTGCTTAGTGCAATGAATTTAAGCAGTTACTTTTCAAAATATCAAACTGCCAAAACATTTGAAATATAGTATTGGAAAGAGTTTTGCAAACTTCTCATAAGCTTAGAATATAGCACAGCGTACTTTGGAGATCTCTTCGCAATTTCCTGATGAAATAAATGATGTCTGTAATGCGATGGTGCGAACATCATCAATATAAACTTATTTGATATTTGTTCCCGTTTACGAAACAACTTGTCTATCAAAGAGCAAATTAATGCGCAGCGATTCTAAATTGAAGAAAGTTGAACTAATGACATTAGCGATTGTGTAGCTATTCTTTGATTCTCCATATTCTATACAGATGAATTCCTTCATACTCACACCTCCAAATACTGAACCCTAACAAAACATGGCATTCTTTTCTAAAAAATGGATCGATCTCTCTCTCTCTCTCATTTAATTTCTGTTTTATATTATTATCATTTTAATGTGTATGTTTCTATCGGTAGTAGCATTTTTAATAACTTGGATTGTATTCATATCATCTTTGTAAGCACCAGGCATACTCTGTGAACAGTGTGTGTACCAATAAAATCATTATGTACCTTTTTAAAAGAGGTCCTTATGCGATTTGTAAGTTCAAGCAAATTAACGTGAAATGGTTAATATACGCAGACGGTTTATATGATACATATGCTTATTCAATTATTAAACGCATTCCTTTTTTTCTATTCAAAAGAAAATGTTCAGAAAGGACTTTTTTGTATTATAGAGAATATTGGAATTTTTGTATTTAATGAAGTATTTGATGAAGCCTATGTTACTAATGGTAGGCTTTGCTTTTTCCCCTGAGATAAATACCTACTTCAGCTGATATAGCTAGATATTACCACTGCTGTCGAGGGACAAATCACTATTGATAATGTTTGGTATTAGGCGTAATGCAATTTGTCAGGTTGATAATGCGTGCCATCACAAACTCTAACAATGCAGAATATTGTTCTTTGCGTTTATTATTTTTCAGTGTGATAATATTCTATGGTTTCTGTTTTCAGATAGATAAAAGCAAGTACAAAGATGTCACGATACACACCAGTACTTGTCACATACACATCTCCGTATTCTTAACTTTATATCAGAGTCTAATCAGACAATGGGCTTCCAGAGAGTAAGACAACTCAGCCTCTAGATTAAAAGGGAATTAGAAAAAAAATATTTTGTAGAGACAAAGAGCGTGCTTCAATATTCAATCCGTAATGAGGGGATCAACTTCAGAATAAACCAGTCCTGTGTCAGTGACTGGAATCGACCTTCGTCACGTACACATTTACTTCTTACAATGAATCTTACACCACTAACCTGGTGTACCTGTGTTTTGCGATTTTTCTTTTCATTTTTTTTATCTTGGCTCTCTCTCTCTCTCTCTCTCTCTCTCTCTCTCTCTCTCTCTCTCTCAGTATTTTAAGATATGTACTTACACGATAAAAAGATTTCATGTATTGTATTTTATGGCTTTTAAAAAAAATCTTTCTAGTATATCAGTTAAATAATTATTCTTGTAAATGCCTGGAACATTTTTTGCAATGTCATGTGTCTCCAGCCTTCCTTTCATTAGGACTGTGACTTAGGCTAAAAATTAGCAAGACGCTGACCAATATTGTTTGATTCACAAAATGTGGGAAGGTATGTCACTGATCATAAGTATAGTCAGACTTACCTGTAGTGGTCAGCGGCCAAAGAGCGACGCCTGTGTTCGGAGATAATCCTTAAATTCTCCAGCAACATGACCTGGGCTTTCTCCGGATTTTTCATTGCCGTCAAGTTGGCTACATATTCCGTAACAACTTTCTTGAAATATGGTTCACAAGTACAATAATAGAATCCAATAGCTAATCACTTAGTGTTAAAAACTCCATTGTAACTTGAAAACAGTTCAACACCCTTATAAATGATATCGTGGAATCTTTTAAATTTTAAATTACCGATAGTTGCTAAACTTCCCGATGCCTATATACCACTTATTTTCCTAATAGTCGTTTGGATCTAAAGCAACGAAGTTCCTGATGATCATATAGCTTATAGACAAATTTATCTTTCCAAGTTTGTTGATGATATTAAGATCACTGCTATTCAAGCCATTAGCTTTCAACGTAAGAGCTGGGAATATTTCTCCCTGGCTGGCCACACGATCCTCTATGGCTGCAAAAAGCGCCTGACTTGTCATTTCAGAATTTGGTGTTCACAGTGACACTCTTCTAAAATGGCAGACTGTTTGGTTGAATCTCACTTGTCCCTGTGACGATTCTTCCATGATATTTTCTGAAACACAATGCACATAAGGGACAAAATAAATAATATTAATCTGTGACTATCAGTGACTCCTTCATCACATCTCTATAGTACGTATAAAACACTGTCAACAACCAACCGCGTTATGCTAGAGTTTGAACAGTATCGAACTGGAGATATGAAGGGATTTTCTATCTTGATTCTTTGGTTATTAAGTCTGAGAAAGGTTTCATTTGATTCGTGGCCTTCTGAACTTCCGTTCAAAGAAGCTTTCTTCTCGCGCTCCCCCCTAGTACTGTGAATGACTTTATGCGTCACAGGCAGACGATATACCTGTGCTTGTCATGTCTGATGGCATGTCTTTCTGCTTTACTCTGAGCCAATGGCAGAAGCTCTGTAAAATAAAAAAAAAAGTATTACCTGTTCTCATTTACCGCTGATATATTGATTGGTTTCCATGGAAACTTCCTCCATTCTTGGTTTTATGTAATATTAATACTCTCAGGTAGTGGAAGCTTTTTGATTTGGAGAATATCTGGGAATCATTAAAACTTAAGCTTTTAAAAACAAAGCTGGGCCTCTGGGATTATTTCACTATCAACGTCATTTCGAAAAGCTCAGTTTGTTTCGATATTTTATTAAATTATTTGTCAAGCACTGCTTAATGAAAACATGGCGAAAATTATTGCCATCGAACCGAAGTTTAAAATCCAGACAATGATATGTTTGGACTTTTGTAGAATGTCAATGTACGCTGTAAACCGTTATCTTAGAAATTTACTCATGATCAGAATGTTATCTGGAATTAATTAATACCTGAAAATGGTAATGTTGCTACAATGAAAACTACAAGGATAGCAGGGTGAAAAACACTCAAATCGTTAAATTTTCTTTATAGCAGCCATTTTCTCCCTAAATGTTGAAAATCAAAGGTGGTGTTTTGATAAACGAAAATTTTCATGAATGTTTAAGATCCTGTCTTGAATTTTCAACGTAGCAACTTGAGTATGATCGTTTAAGATAAATCTCAAGTTTCCAAATTCGTTTCTTGAATTTTAAAGACGATATCTTGAATTTTCAGCTTAATTTCTCTCAAGAAACTACTAGTACATTGTAATTTGAATTTGAAAATGACATCTTAAAGTCATATATGGCGTATTTTTTGATAAGTTCAGATAACCAAAATTAAAAAGATCTTTCTATTTGTTTTTTACTTAATATTAAGTTAGGACTTTCCAGTAAATTATACAATTTAAATCAATCGCGTTTCAGATATTAAACCTTTTAAACAATAACCGATTTATTTACCGACTCCACATTTAAATAATAGACTTTTAAAGTCATTTTAGCTATAGAAACGTGAGGTTATTCAAGTTCAAAATCGGTGAAAATTTTAATTTGAAAGTAAATAACCTGTATCACGTACATATATATCTATGCCCAATCTCATTTTATTATTTTTCAGCTCAGATACGCCATATATAGCTTTAAAGTTTTCTGTAATTTTTTTTACGGCATTTTGAACTTTTTATTCAGTATTCTAAATTTCAAACATAGATGAAAAGAAGCTGGTCGATTTTAACCTACATATGCGTGACTCTGTTGTTTAAAGTTATCTGTGGATACTTCTTGTTATGGGATTTACAAATGCTCTTTTCAGTTATCAGACTTGTTATATGTTCCTATCACACACAATCGGCCATGTCATCTTTCTGCTTCTCTTGACAACAGTACCTGAAGGTATGTCATAAGTTATATTCTGTGGTCACATCCCTGCTTCTCTAGGATGTCTTTATTTAAGGATTTTAATGTGATTAAATACAGAATATTTGAAAATTCGTCATTCAAGCAATCTCTTCACATTTTAGCTCTTTTTTTTAAGTCTCCTTTTGCTATCCATATGTTCAAATCCGCTCCTTTTACCTTCAGCAGAGAAAAAGACTAATACTGATATATAATACCCCAGATTTCAGGACCAAAAATGAAAAGGGTTTTAGAATAATAAATAAGCAATCTGATTTAGCAGTGTCAGGATATTTATAATGCAAAGCGAAATTACTAATATTTTTTACAGAAACACGTGCATCTGATGGAAAAAAAAATTAACCAAAGTACAAAACAAGTTTTGCACTAATTGAATATCAAATATACTTTTTTTTCGGTAGAATATATTTTTCTTAATTTTAATACTAATAGCTGGAACTAATAGAACGCATAACATATCTGATTAAATGTCCTAGTTAAGATTTTTTATCATTTAAATCTTTCATGATTTGTAAGATTTCTTACGGTATAGCGGTACCTGTAAATTACGGGGGGGGGGGGGGGGGAGAGAGAGAAAAAAAGAAAGGAAACGAAAAGCAAAGAGAACAAAAAAGATCGATACAAAAAAGAAAACAAAAAGGATCGATATTAAAAGGGAACAAAAAGGATCGATACTAAAAGGGAAACAAAAAGGATCTATACTAAAAAGAAAACAAAAAAGATCGATACTAAAAGGAAACAAAAAGGATCGATACTAAAAAGAAAACAAAAAGGATTCATACTTAAAGAAAACAAACAGGTTATCAGAGATTACAGAGCTCACCTCAACGAACGTTGTCTTTAAGTAAAGCAAAGTCTCACACTAAACTAATAATCTAGTAGTGTGCATCCCTAGATACAACATTTATGCAATTTTGGTCTGAAAGGGCTTGCATTTACTATGGTATGGACTTATCTAAAAACTTTGAACTAGTCACTCATCCAGAAAATGTAGGTCAAATCCAGCATCCGAAGCAAGTTTGAGAGTGTTCGTCCCTTGATGCAACATCCATGCAAGTTTGGTTCAGATAGGCCTTATAGTTTCTTGGCAATGGACCTGCTCCAAAAACTTTAACCTGGTCACTCATCCGAAAAATGTAGGTAAGATCCAACATCTGAAGCAAGTCCAGTAGTATGTATCCTTAGATATATCATCCATGCAAGTTTGGTCAACATAGGACTTAAAGTTACTTGGAAATGAGATCTGCTCCAAAAACTTTAACTTGGTCACTCATCCGGAAGATGTAGGTCAGATCCAGCATCAGAAGCATGTTCAGTAGTGTGCATCCTTAGATGTATCATTCATACAAGTTTGGTCAACATAGGACTTATAGTTACTCGGAAATGGGATCTGCTCCAAAAAATTTGATCTGGTCACTCATCTGGAAAATGTAGGACAGATCAAGCATTCGAAGCAAGCCTGGTAGTGTGATCCTTAGATTTATCATCCATACAAGTTTGGTCAACATAGGTCTTACAGCTACTTGGAATCGAGATCTGCTCCAAAAACTTTAACCTGCTCCAAAAACTCTAACCTCCTCAAATACATTACCCTAGTCATTCTTTAGCTGAAATTGCAGCATCTGAAACCTTGACTGGTACAATTTAACACACTAGAGGCATCCTCCATGCACCTCTGATTGATAAAGGGCATAGAAGTACTTGAAAAGAAATCTACTCCAAAAACTTTAACCTGGGACGTCGACGCCGAGGGTATTACATATGCTCACCAAACTTCGTTAGGGTGAACTAAAAAGGATTGATACTAAAAAGAAAACAAAAAGGAATAATACTAAAAAGAAAACAAAAAAAGGATCGATACTAAAATTAAAACAAAAAGGATTGATGCTAAAAGGAAACAAAAAGGATTGATACCAAAACGAAAACAAAATGCATCGATACTAAAAGGAAAGCAAAAAGGATCGATCCTAAAAGGAAAACAAAAAGGATAGATACTAAAAGGAAAACAAAAAGGATAGTTACTAAGGAAACAAAAAGTATCGTTACTATAAGGAAAGCAAAAAAGATCGATATTAAAAGGATCGATACTGAAATGGATTGATACTAAAAAGAAGGTCGATACTAAAAGGAAGACAAAAGGGATCGATACTAAAAGGAAAACAAAAAAGATTGATACAAAAAAAAGAAAACAAAAAGGATTTATACGTAGAGAAAACAAAAAGAATTGATACCAAAAAGAAAACAAAAAGGATCGATACTAAAAGAAAAACAAAAAGGATTGATACTAAAAGGAAAACAAAAAGGATCGATACTAAAAGGAAAACAAAAAAGATTGATACAAAAAAAAAAGAAAACAAAAAGGATCGATACTAAAAGAAAAACAAAAAGGATTGATACTAAAAGAAAAACAAAAAGGATTGATACTAAAAGAAAAACAAAAAGGATCGATACTAAAAGAAAAACAAAAAGCTTTGATACTAAAAGAAAAACAAAAAGGATTGATACTAAAAAGAAAACAAAAAGGAACGATACTTAAAAGAAAACGAAACAAAAAGCTTTGATACTAAAAAGAAAACAAAAAGGATCGATACTAAAAGAAAAACAAAAAGCTTTGATACTAAAAGGAAAACAAAAAGGATCGATACTAAAAGAAAAACAAAAAGCTTTGATACTAAAAGAAAACAAAAAGGATCGATACTAAAAGGAAAAAAAAGGATTGATACTAAGAGAAAAACAAAAAGCTTCGATACTAAAAGGAAAACAAAAAGAATTGATACTAATAAAAAAAACAAAAAGCTTCGATACTAAAAGAAAAACAAAAAGGATTGATAATAAAAAGAAAACAAAAAGGATCGATACTTAAAAGAAAACGAAACAAAAAGCTTTGATACTAAAAAGAAAACAAAAAGGATCGATACTAAAAGAAAAACAAAAAGCTTTGATACTAAAAGGAAAACAAAAAGGATTGATACTAAAAGAAAAACAAAAAGCTTCGATACTAAAAGAAAAACAAAAAGCTTCGCTACTAAAAGAAAAACAAAAAGGATCGATACTAAAAGAAAAACAAAAAGCTTCGATACTAAAAGAAAAACAAAAAGGATTGATACTAAAAAGAAAACAAAAAGGATCGATACTAAAAGGAAAACAGAGAGGATTGCTACTAAAAAGCACACAGAAAGGATCGATACTAAAACGAAAACCAAAAAGGATCGATAGTAAAAGATAACAAAAAGGATCGATACTAAAAAGAAAACAAAAAGGATTGATACTAAAAGAAAAACAAAAAGCTTTGATACTAAAAGAAAACAAAAAGCTTCGATACTAAAAGAAAAACAAAAAGCTTCGATACTAAAAGAAAAACAAAAAGGATTGATACTAAAAAGAAAACAAAAAGGATCGATACTAAAAGGAAAACAAAAAGGATTGATACTAAGAGAAAATCAAAAAGGATCGATACTAAAAAGAAAACAAAAAGGATTGATACT